TATGTTAAATGATGATATGAAGTATGCTACATATGCATTGCGACATGTTCTACGCGATTTAAGGGTGTCCAAGCATGTTCGTAGAGCATAGGATCAATTTCATGACCAATTTGATTCATTTTCATGTACATTAGAATGCATTTTTCATAAAAATGGTTCATCCCTTGCTCAAAAGGATCGATCCCTTCAGGCAAATGATCGATCCCTTCTCTAAAGGATCGATCCCAAACTCACTGATTTGCAATGGATCGATCCCCTGTGAAAAATGATCGATCCTTTCATTGTTTTCTTGATAAAATTAGGTAAAATTTCATTAATCAAATACCTAAAGTGTTCCCTAAGTCCTTGTACGGTCCCTAAACTTTAAAAGGTATTCAATTTGATCTAAAAACATGATTTTGCAATTAAAGCTTGGTTTTAACTCAAATTTTGCTAAAATTTGTTCTATGACTCTATAATGATAATAATTTCATATTGGAACCTTCGAATTCATATTTTTGGTTTATTTTCATATTTTTTGAAAAGTTTGCATTTTAGTCCCTAAGTTGAGCATTTTCAATTAGGTCTATGTTTGACATCCGATTAACCTAAAAATTTGTATGTCATTAATTAATGAGTAATAATAAATATTGGTAACTCTAAAATAAGAATTTGACTTGAACAAACATGCATTTTGAAATGTTCAAATTACCCCTACATTGTGAATGACGTTTATCCTGCGATATTCGGTCGTACAAATATTATGATTGATATCCTTATTGGTTGCTACCACGTGTTGAATGATGTATGTTTTAAAATTTCTTCTTCTTATCACACATGTATAAGGTTTTTGTTTTGTCCAACATGATTGGAATCTAATGTACGCTCAAGTATCCGAGTTAATGTTCATAACTGAGTATAGGGTGTTACAAGTTCTCTATATAAAAATGCCAAAATTGCTAAGCCCTAACTAATGTTTTGACACTTAGTGAAATTATTCATTATCGAAAGATATTGAGTGTGAGCCAAATTCCTGAATTTATCTAGGAACAATATCCCTCCAATCAATTGGAGAAGATACGAACGAATTACAAATTTGATCTCATCCTTGATAGAGTCTTCATTTACTTGAAATTCAGACTTCAACCAAGTTATCCATGTTCGCATTTCGTCTAAGACCTCTGGTGGTGACACCTTTCTCAAAACTTCATCAACAATAGCGAATCAGTTGTAATTGTTATGCCTCACTAATGTCGCACCTCAGAACACCTAATTGGTAATCGATTTCTTCCAACATAATCGTAGCTTCACCACTTGAAAAATGATAAGTATGCATTTCAGACCTCCAACATTCAATCAACACCGAAATCAGTGTCGAGTTCACCTTAAAACAACGAAGAAACGTGGTTGGATACAACCCAGATTGTTGTATATATATAATAATCCGCTGATGCGGATCTTTAAGTGTCATTCCTCATTGATGAATGCCCCATTCTTCTTCCAGAGTGAGTTTGAACGAATAAATATGAACAACATCAAGGTGTAACATTTCATATCGGGTAGAAATTTTTAGAAATTCTTCAAAAAATACAAATTTTTCTCAATTTTTTGTTCTTAACAATACACAATAAAAATCATAAACCTTAAACCCCTATTTACAACCCCAAACCCAACGATTATAAACGAATATAATTTTTAAAAAAATCCTATAGAACTCGTCACCTCAACGTGACGAGTTTCGATATGACCAATTCTTTTGATTGTTGCCCAACGAATATAAACGGCTAGTTAATTTTAAATTCCAATGGAACTCGTTACGTCGACATGATGAGTTCAAATATTTTTTTAATTTATTATAATTTTAAAATTAATTATTGAATTAAAAAAAATTAATTTTCACCTGACTCATCACGTCGACATGACGAATTCGAGGAAATATATTATAATATTGACCCACATAGGGCCCATTTTCTTGGGACCATCTAAAATATTATTTAGGCAAATTCGTCTTGTCTATGCATTATAGTGTTTGTCGTAAATTTAAAAAAAAAAATCGGGTCATCATTTTTTTCAAAATTTTTTTTGGACCCAAAATAATGAAAAAATGTAATTTTTTAAGTGATGAATACCACACACATTTATGAGATTTTGGTGGTTCGGGGCAAATTTAAAAATGTGAGCTCTAATAATAAATATTAAAAAAATAAACTTTAAGAGTATATAAAAATTTATTTAAAACTCCCTTTTGTGGTTGTATTAATTTTTGTGTTCATTTTGTTTTTCACTATCGGAAGTATGTTTTCGCGATAACATTATACCATAAAAATATGAAGAAAAAAATATAGAATGATAGCATATGAGTCATCGTCATTGAAATTTTTCCTCACTTTTAGATAAATTAATCGACTTTGTAATTCACTCTCACCTACATTTCATAATTAATAATAAAAAAATATAATGTACAACCACAAAGTATAAACATAATACAACATTCAAAATATACATAAATAATCAAAACACAATAATAAATTAATGAAATATATTTAACTTGATTTGAGTGGATTTTAACCTTCAATCTTAATTCACAACCACATTCAAATTCTAATATAAGAAAATGTTAAAAAAACAATGTTTTTAAAACCGGACCGGACATTGAATCGGTGAAAGTACTGGTTCACTGGTTCAACCGCGGTTGAACCGGATTTTATATAAAATAATATATATTTTTAATTTTACATAATATTCAAAGCAATATTAATATATGTGTAACACTTTTTTTAAGTTTACAATATTAAAAGGTATAAAAATATCACAAGTCATGACATATATAAATTAAAAATCATAAAATCAAGTGAAACAAAATGATTCAAATCAACTCCAACATAATATTTAAGGTAAAACATATTAAATAATAAATATAATTATATAACTATAATTAAAAAAATAAAATTGGGGCTTAAAAAATTATAACAAATGATGTCATTTAGTTTAATTTTTTTTTTAAATAATCTCACATGGCTAAGAAACATAGAAGAGCATCACAAAAGTTTAAAGAATAAAAATATGAGAACAAAACAATCTCACTTGGCTAAGAAACATAAAAGAGAATCCCAACTTACTTCTATAAATAATAGAGGTAATTTGACATTCAAAATCATGGAGCCTTTTGGTGAGCACAGAGCGAACTATTCTTTCGCTTCAATTGAGCTCAAATTTTAGGCTTCAATCGAACTTCTAAATTTTTTTGAGTTCGAGCCTTTTCGAGTTCAAGTTTTAATATTATATTTCGAGTTCGAGTTGAATTTGATAATTTTTAACTCGTGAGTTTTTGAGTCGAGTTGAGCTTACTTTTAAAGTTTTCGAGTTCCAGTCGAGCTCATCAATACTCGAATTTGACTTGGCCCGTTGAACAAACGACGTCGTTTAGTTTAATTTTTTTTAAAAAGAAAAAAAGTGAACCGGCAGTTCAAACCGGTTTTACCAATTTTTAGCCGGTTCACCCGGTTTTCTGTCGGTTCTACCGATTTTCAACCGGTTCATTGTCAGACCGATTTTATGAGGTAACCGGACCGGGCAGGCCACCGGTTCACGGTTCAACCGGTTGAACCGACTGGTCCAATCCGATTTTAATAACGATGTAAAAAAGAGTTACGGGCTTTTAAAAAAATAATCCAAAAAAATAAATAAATTTATTTTAACTTACTGCTCACCACATAAACAAAAGAGAAAACAACCGTTGGACATAAATATAATTTATTAATTACATCAAAAGGAGCATAGGTAAACTTAAAGAATAAAACAAAAATTGAATTAATATTCGTTTTTAAAATTTTGCTTTTGGATTATTTTTACGATTGTATTTTTTACAAATAAAATTAATTTTAACTTTTGATTGGGGCCTGGGTAGATATCCCTCCTGTCTAGGCTCAGATACGGCTTTGATAAATACATCTGAACTTAGGTTGGAAAGTATTTTTCAGAAGCTAGAGTATATAGCTTTTGATTTTTATCGAAAGTAAATTTTAACAAATTAATTTATTTGTGTTTATTTATACCATTATTTTTTTAACTTTTTAAAAATAAAATCATAAGTATATGTTTAAGGTATATTTATTTCTTTACTTGATTTTTGAAAAAAAATGTTATTTTTATTTTTAAGTGTTTGGTTGGATATATTATCTTTTTATTTAGTCCCTACGTAATTTTAATTGTTATTTTTTTACTAAAGATATACTATCTTTTTATTTAGTCTCTTAACTTTGAATTTTACTCTATTTGATCTTTTGACTACAAGTATTTGTAAATTTTTTCTTCACATCAATTCCTTACTCATTTATACTCTCAACAATATTTTGCCCTTAAAATATTTTCTTTAAAATATAATATTATGAATATATTTCATAAGTTATATTATATTTGATATATTAAATAACATTATAATATAAAAGAATATATATATATATATATATATATTATGGTTAGATAAAGTAAAAAAAATTGGAATAAATCATTGTCATAATACTATAAATAATTATAATAAAAATAGTATAAAACCTCGAATAATTCGACTTGAATTTCTTAAATTCGATTAAAAAAATTCAAGTTGAGTTCAAGTTGTAAAATACGACTCATCGACTCGTATAACTCAAAATTTTTTTACTCGACTCGACTCAATCGAATGCTCACCTCTCTACATAAACGTAGTGAGTAAAAAAACTGTAGTTACAAACCCATCGTCTTCTTCGGTTTGTTCCACACGTTTTGTGGTATCCTAGCTTACGCGGGAAGTTTTAGGCCGGAAAAGTATGGTCGTGTGGGAGAGCCGACAGTGCCATCATCAAGACAAGAATTGTGTTGATTGCTAATATCTTCTTTGATTATCCTTTTGCTTTTGTTTCTTTTCTTAGCCGATTCAGGGGCTGCGGGAGGAGCGAACAAAAGCTTCCATCTTCTTCTTCCTCCTAGGAAAACACTCTTTCCAAACGACTAAATTTCAGCAACATGAAAAACATTAAGATTTCTCAGATGGCAACCGCAATCCTTCCAGCTATTTGGTCCGTATACCGCTGGCTGTTTGCTGTGATTTTCCAACCACCTCTAGAATCAATATCAATGATGTTGACATTCTGCAATTGCTGGAGAATGCGACAAGCAATAGATCCACTGCTCTTACAGAAATGGCGTGGGCGACTTTCGTTTCTCTTAGTCCCTCCATAAATTCTTCTAAAGGCATCAACACCAAGACCTCCTACTTTGAAACCAATTTTGCTTCCATTGTTGTCAACTGTGTGCTTCTTGCAGGGTAAATCAGCATTCCAGAAGAAATTTGGGTTCTTGAAATCTGGAAAAGCAGGTTCAAAAGATGCAGCAGGTTAATCTTTTCTTTCACATGTAAATAAATTCTGGCATTTTTTTGGCACTAATGTATCATATTCTCAATGGTTTTATATATATCTTAACTTGCATTGAACTAATCCATTGGAACAGGTGGTTTTGAGGAAAGAAACTGGGAATCAATGACAAAAGGGTAAACTGTCTACTGCTCAGGAGAGAGAAATAGGAAGGAGGTTTAATTCCAGAAGAAGAAGAAGATAACGGGAGGTAACGTGACATGTCCGCTGTAACTAGCAGAAGGTAATGACATGGACCGTATTTAAAACGAATTAAAAGTTCAATGACTGTATTGTAAGTTTTAAAAGTTGGGTGACCAAAATTTAAGTATCTAAAAATTTGGGGACTATATATATATTTTACCCTTATTTTATTCGTATTCCTATCCTGCGACCTGCTGTATATACAAAATTTAAAATCATCTTCGTCATGCAATCCATAAAACTAAAACCATCTACATAGGTCTCAAAATTCAATTAATTCCTTCTATATTCGTTCCATGCCCCTTCATATTATATATTTATAAGTTTCAAAAATAATCAATACATGCAGCATAAGTGTTATATAATTTTTTTTGAAAGAACTGTTGCAATTTTGTTAAACACCATTTACAATAACTTCATGATCTAGAAATATTAGTAAGAATAGAGGGGGTTCATCAAACAATGCTTCACCTATGGGTTGTTCGCGTAATAGTTTTACCGATGCATCTGTCACCTGGTTTTGTTTGCGAGGATATATTGAATCCGTATCTCCCAATTTTGATCATTATAAATCATCCTTTGAATCATGCCCCCTACGAATGATCTCGTAGAGTTTCTGATTGTCCTTGAGCCACCCTAACCGCTTCAATGTTGTCTATTTCAATAATAATTTTTCTAAACCAGAGGTTCTTTGCACGGTGAAGCGCTTCATGCAACGCCCAAAGTTCCGACAAAAGAATTGAGCATTTGTTGAAGCGTTTTGAGAAACCAAAAACCCATCGACCTTCATTATCTTACAACACATCATCCATTGCTGCATTTTTAGTGGTACTCGACACTGCTCCATCTATATTAACTTTCACCCATTCCTCCGGTGGTCAGTGTCAATCCATTATGTCTTCATGTTTGTGTCTGCTGTTAAGCGCTACTGCATTTTTTTGTTTCTTGCAGTTACAATCTCCTCTTTCATGACTACATTTTCATCAATGACACTAGTAATCTTCACAAAGTTCGTATTAAATATTTGCTCATTTCGTCGGACCCACATGATTTTCAGCAGATTAATGCAAAATTAATTTTGTTTGTAATGGTTTTTTTTTATTAATTTATGGTGATTATCAGTTGTAGTATTTGTTCTAAAGACATTTAATTATTTGGAAATGAACGTTTAAATACGCTACAGTCGTTGATGTTTAAATCTGTGACCTCTAAGTTTAACAATCATTCATTTAATCATTGAGATCGTTTGATTCGTGTTATAATAATTATTTTTTAAATATGCTTATTATGATGCAGAACATGTGAGAATGATGCGAAAAGAGACGGAGAATTAGACGAGATAAGTAAATGGTCACACTCACATTTGTCCCACCACCTACGATGGCTCTAATGTTCACATCCTCGTCTTGAAGCCTCATTGTCCAACCCTCTCCCCCCCCCCCAACCCCAAAAAAACACACACACACACAGAGTATGACATAATTTTGATAAGGATTTAAACCCATTTTTCTTTCTCATTTTCTCATTTTTTCCATTTTTCCTCTTTAAAATTTCCCTAGAGGTCAGATATCGTCCTCCCTGTCAATCGGTCATCAATCACCATTAATCGTCGCACCAATTACTGTCATCGATGGTTTTCTCAAACTAAAATTTGTAGGTTAGACCTTTTGAATTTTTGATCATACAAAGATTCGGTGTTCGGTTTCTCAAAAATCACTCCAATTATTCTAAATCTAAATCAAACTCTTCGATTTTCTTGGAATTAAAACTCATTTGATCCCCATCATCTTTCGTCAGATGAGCTAGTCTTGAAGATATATTACTTCCACCGTCACGAAGAGTATTCCCTCTGTTAGGATTTTGAATTTTCAAGGTGAAGCTCAGTTCGTCAGAAAATGCAAGACTTAGCTTGGGCTTTCCTCTTTCTCCCTTCTTGTTTTTCCCATTCGACTTAATCACAATTGGTTTTACAAATTGAGGCTGTTGAGTGAGACAGCGGTGGACACTGCCGTTACCATCGTCGCTTTGATTGTTGTTACGATTAGCGAGGAAGCCACTCGTTCTCGTACTCACTATTATTGGCCGATTTGGGCCTTGTTATTAGGCTAGAACAACACCAATGGTTATGGTGGGGTTGTTTTGAGTTGTGTAAATGGATCACGTTTGGGTTTTACTGGTTCGCGAGGTTAAATAAATATGTTTCATGGGGAATTACATTATTACTTCAAGAGACATCTGATATCGATATATTAAAGTATAAAAGTCACATATACACACATATATAGTTATACAATTAATTATAATTAATATACATATATTTTGAACATGAAAAAGGAAATGAATTTACGTGAACCAACTTACTTAAGTGGTTGAAAAAATCGTTATTATTCTTAGAGGTCAAGGGTTCGAGCACTAGCGGCTGTAGCAATAGCGGCTGTAGCAATAGGGATGTAAAAAACTGACTCGACTTGTAAAAATGATTGAAACTAACTCGAGTTAAAACTGGCTTTTGACATGAACGGTGGTGATCTGAAACATACTCGAGTCCGAACTGGTGTTTACCTGAACTCGAGTTGGACCTGGAAATTGTGTATCTGAACCTAACATCACCCGATCTGAGAATGACATGAACTCAATTTGAGCTGATAATATGATAACTGAACCCGACCTACATCCGACGAAAATGAACCTGAACCCGAGATTAACCTGGTAAATAACTGATATTATCCGACCTATTATCAAGCTGACATGTTATGAACCTGACCTGTAATTGACTTAACCTATAAATGATCCGACTTGTTATTGAACTGATCTGATATTTACATGACTTACAAATTATCATTAATGAAATTATGAGATTTTGATTAAGTTGTGAGATTTTCCGTTTATAATAAATCATGCTTATTTATGTGATTAATTCTTAAATGTTAAAATAAATTATTAATTATGGTAATTTAATTAATAAATTTACTTAATATATTAATTATGATTCTTATATTATAAATCTTAATTATAATCATTAAAAATAATTTTATTGAATAATTTATTTATTGAATATGACTAATTAAATAATAATTAATTTAAATATTTATAAGTTCAATTTATGTTTTATGTAATAATTAATTAATATTGTAAATCTAATTTATCTGAAAATTGGAACATTTATATAAAAGATAGATTACTTGAGATTGAAAAATTGAATAACATAAAATTTATTACACTTTAATACAATAAAATTTCAATAAATGAACAAAAATAATTTTATATTAAAATTTAAGCTCTCAGATTTTATAACAAAAGTTTTATAAGGCAAAAAGTCTTACTTTGCTACCATAAATCTCTTCATCGAGCTTTTATCTCAAAAGATCTAAATACTGCCAACGCTATTAAATTATGGGTAACTTTTCAGCTTTAAAAGTCAAAATGACACCAACATAATTTAACATGAGTAACTATTTAGAAAAAAAAAATTTACAACAGTCAAACCAACAATAATTTACAAGGCATCAATAGGCAGCATTGCATCAATCAACATTTTCTTCATTCAACAAGCATCCAGTCAGTGGTAAAGCCAAAGGGAATACGATGGTCAACAGTGCCAAACATTTACAACTTTACCAAACCCTAACAGAATCAAACATTTAACAAACATTTCTAAATCAAGCAATATCAAGCAAAATCAGGACGTAAGCATTCAATAAGCATTCAGAATTATGTTTGCTGCAATTTGTAACGCAACCTACAAAAACAAAATCATCAATAAACAATTTGAAAAATTAATTAAATAAACATAATAAATATATAAAAAATGAAATCACCTTTAAAATGAAGAAACAAGACAGAATCATTCACAGACCAATTCCAATAGAAAAACTCAGGAGATAATGTTCTCGAAAGAATTATTTCACGAGATAATGCTTTGGTCGGATTAATTGCTGATATAGGGTGAATTCTACAGTTCCCATGCAGGTCGCCATGTACTCCGGGCGATGTAGGAGGTCACCAACGCATCCCTGCAAGCTGCTAGCCATGCACGTCGTTGGAAGAAGGTCACCAGGGCATCCATGTGAGCTGTGGTGCTTTGCATGCGCCATGCATTCCCAGCGACTTACCAGGTCGCCATGCACGCATGCAGTCCTGACGACCAACGTTCACGTTTACTCCTGCTCGCCTCTGCATGCCTGTCCCCTGTCGTTGCTCCTTTGGTCCTATGCAGCTATCATAGCTGCATTATTGCAGCGTGAATTCAGCTACATTATTGCAGCACTTATTGATACATTATTGCAGCCTTCAGCAGCCCGTGAAGGACATGTTTTGGGTGATATAATTGAAGCAGTCGGGTGGGTGGGATTGTTATATATTGGATGAGGTTAATGAATGAATCATAAAAGAAAGAAAGGGAGAAGAGAGAAAGGGAAAAGAGGAAGAAGAAGAAAGGGAGCTAGTATCAACATCGAGGTAAGTATTATTATTATTTAAATTAGTTTATTATTTTAAATAATTAGTTTGTTAGTTTAGGGTTTAGGGTTATTATTAGTTTAAGTTATGTCATACATAAATATAAAATTATTTAATTAGTTTGTTTGATAGTTATGTATTAAAAAATAATTAATTAGTTTGTTTGGTAGTCGTTAGTTATATATAAAAAATATTAAATTAGTTTGTAGTTAGTTAAATTTGGTTGTTGAATTTATATTATATAAAAAATTTAGTTAATTAGTTTATTAGTAGTTTAAGTTATATTATAATTAAAAAATAGTTTATTAGTTTAAGTTATATAAAAGAATAGTTTATTAGTTGATTAAGGGAACATTTAAGTTATATTTTAAAAAGTTTAGTTTGTTAGTTTATTATATTATAAGTTATTATATAAAAAAATTTTGTTGGTTAGTTTATATTAGATTATATTAAATGATTTTATAAATATTGTTGTTTATTTTTTTTACAGATTCATTCCAATGGATGACCAAATTTCACTGCTGAGATTTGACAATGAACATATTTCAACTCATTTGGGAA